GGCATAGATGTTCAAACCAGCAACATAATGTGAGACTGAAGGTGCTACAAGATCCCTTTCCATTTTTCTGGGGAAGTTACTAAAGTCCACTGGACTTCTCTTAAAACACACATGCACACACACACACACACACACAGACAGATGACTTGAAGGCATATGGATGATGCTTAGAAGACTAGAATCTGCTTCAGACTGTGGCATTTTTATTCATTACTAACGTCTGGGGCTGTGTGATTTGCATCACCCAGTGGGTTTCCATGGCCGAGCAGGGATTCAAACTCTGGTCTCCAAGTTGTACTTTAGTGCTAAATCTGGAGCAGTTGGTACATGATAATAAGCCAGAATTCACATTCTTCTTACAAAAGATGCACCTTGCACACCAATAACCAGCTAGGTGATTCTAGTCTTTAAAAAAAAAAAGCATTTTTTAAAGCTCTGCTGTAAGGGGTGTAGTCTTATGGCCTAAATCAGGGGTAGGAATAATGTGCCCCTCCAGGTGTTCTTGGACAATAGTTTCTCACATTTCCCCAGGGAGCTGCAGTTAAACAATATCTGCAAGGCCACAAAATTCCCACTTCTAGTAAATCCAACGTTTGGTGGCAGATAGAAGAAACCCTTTGAATCAATGAGAACTTAACATGTCAACACTTACATAAGTTCTTTTCATTCAGCAGGACTTTACTAGTTAGTACAAACAATTAGATTTAGGCATTTGATTATTGGGAAGACGTATCAAGGGCCATAGGATCTTCCTAAATCCCCCTCTCTGCAGGCAAGAGGAATATCTGCCATTGTGCAATTCTAGGCTTCAACAGGATATCATAGTGTCCAGACTGAGGGAAGCAGAAGTCCCACTCTATTCTGCTTTGGTCAGACTCTGCCTGTATCCAGTTCTGGGCACATTTCAAGAAGGATATTGACATGCCCAGAGGAAGGTAACCAGGATGGTAAAAGATTGCAAAATAAGCCCTACAAGGGATGACTTGGGGACCTGTGAGTATTTTGCTTGAAGAAGAGAAGATTAAGAGGTGATATGAATATTTGAAGAGACATCATGCAGATGATGCACTGAGCTAATTTTCTCTGTTCCAGAGATTCAGACACAACCAATGATTTCAAATTACAAGAAAAGAGATTTTACCTAAACGTTAAGAAGAACATCTTGACTGTAAGAACTGTTTGGCAGTGGAACAGACTGCCTTGCAAGGTGGTAGACTCTCCTTCTTTGGAGGTTTTTAAACAGAGGTTGTATGGGATTGCTTTAGTTCTAGCAGGGAGTTGGATTAGATAGCCCTTATGGTCTCTTCCAACTCTCTGATTCTAGGATTTCTCATACCATTGCTGGTGGAAGGTTCCATTACCATTGCTGCTCTGTGACTGTTCAACTGCAGATGAGGCCAAACGAAGTGCTCCAGGGATGTGTTGAGTGGAACAGGTAGGCTTTGGATCTGCTGGATGCAAAGTCCTCCCTTTCCCTTTAAGTACTTTTGGAACACAGAAGAAGTATTTTTAAAACAAATATTTTTAAAACAAAGAAAAATATTGACAAAAGGAAACCCACTTCCATTTTGCTACTGTGAGCCTAGCAAAACTTTGGATTTGGCAGTATTTTCACCAGTCTCCAGTGCTGGATAAACGTGTTTTAGCTAGTGCTCAGTGTGTGATCCCTTGCTTTACACCTTCCTCCTGTTAGCATCATGCAAAACTGACTTGAATCCTTTGGTATCTCATTTGAAGAGATGTTAGAGTTAATTCTTTAAACAATACAAAGTACCCCCTTTTTACTGAAATCAGACAAATTGCCACATGATTTTAAAGAGACATCATGTGCTCTTTCTCATGTATATATGCTTTGAGATTCTCTATTGACTTATAGTGACCCCATGAATTTCATAGGTGGGTTGCCATTGCCTCCCTCTGCATTAAGCTTACAGCAGCTGGTATTTCCTGGCAGTCTCCCTTCCAATTATTAACCAGGGCTGACCTTGGTTAGCTTCTGAAATCAGACAATGTGGTGTCTTCAGGCTTCCAAATACATGGGATTCCATATAAACAGAATATGATTTTCAACATTACATTTTATTTACAAGCCCTAAGAAATATTGATGATAAACCTCTTTTATTTGGTTTTCTTAATAGTACTAGGGACACAGAGTTACAGATGTTCACTATAGCTTTGATAAGCAAATCATTGCAGATGTTTTTATCTAGCAAAGCACTAGCTACATTGTAAATAGGGTTTGAGGTTTCAAAGGATAATTTTCCATGGGCAGCACCCACCACAGGTGTTGAACTACAACCTCTATTATCCCCATCTAGCATTGCCAACACATCAGAAGGACACCAGACTGAGCAAGGTGACGGTGTGATCTTTACAATTATGCACTAGGAAGCTGCCTTATACAGGGTCAAACCATTGATCCAGCTAGACTAGTGTTGCCAACTCTGAATAAGTATCAGATCTCCATTGTTGCAGACAGAATGTCTGAAATCAGATGTGTGTGCTCAGGATGATATCATGGTCACTTGTGCCTGTGTATAGCGAGTGTATATACATTTCCTTGTCCCAGGAACACCCCAAAACATGAAGGGAATCAAGAAGCAGGCTTGTATGCAGTGTAAGGAGCTGTAAGTAAGGGAGTTTTTATAGCAAAACCTTAGTGCATCTATAAAATCTTTGGTTTCTGACCAGAGTGTCTTAGTGGATTTCCATGGAAACAAAGGCTGTAGAATGAACTAGTAGATAAAACTGATATGAAGACTTGTGTGGCTGTGCCCACTTTTTCCCATGGTGCAAGAGCCTTATTCCATATAAGATCTTTTCTTAATGACAGTGCACATGCATTGTATGTATAAAGTCCTGTGTACAATATCTGGGGTTAAGATGCCAGATCAATGTTTGGATGCACTGTAAATCTTGGGCAAGCATCTATGTCTCATCTAAGGGGCATGGGGAGTAGTTTTTCCCTGTCCCTCTGGGGTCCTTTCAGCCAAAGAGAAGACTTTTTAAAACCAGGAATTAAATCAGAGAGCTTTGAAAATTGTTTTCCAGATCATAATACAGCCTGGGCAGCGGCAGGGGATATGCAGAATATTCTCTAGAGGGCATGCAGGGGACACATTGCGTAAAAAAGAAACCCAACATTTTGGGGGTTGCAAAAACAATGTGGTGTAGGCAATATATAGCTCATGGGCTGCATTTCCCTCCTGCCCTAAAACTGGGGTGGAAATCATGTGGCCCTCCAGATGCTAGACTGCAAATCCCAGCAGCCCTAACTAGCATAGCCAATGTTAAGGAATTCAAGGAGTTGTGGTCCAACAACATCTGGAGTAGCACATGATATTCACCTTTG